AATGAATAGACAAAGAAAAGAAAACAAAAAATAGAGCACTGGTGAACTGTAGGAAAACTTTAAAGACTTAGCATATATATATAATTGGAGCCCCCAAAGGAGGAGGAGGAATACAAATACTTTAAGAAATAATGGCTAAAATGTTTCCAAATTTGATGAAAACTTAAAACCCACTGATCCAAGAAACTTTATGAACCTCAAGCACAAGAACATAAAGAAAACTTCACCAAGGCATATCATAGATGAATTGCTCAAAAACTGGGATAAAGAGACAAATCTGAAGACAGACTGAGGCACATTACATGCAGCAGAACAAAGATTAGGATGGCAGCCAACTTCCCATCAGAAACAAAACAAGCAACAAGACATTGTATCAACAGCTTTAAAGTACAAACAGAAAAAATATCTGTGAACATAGAATTCTGCAGAGAAACTATCTCTCCCAACAAACAAAAAGGCAAAATAATTTTTTTCCAGCATATAAAAATTTCTACCATAAATGTTAGAAAATGTTAAAGGACATCCTTTAGGCAGAAGGAAAATAATACCAGATGGACATACTCACCTACACAAAAACAGGGAAAGCATCAGTAAAAATAAAGACAAGTAAATTTTAAAAAACTTTAAAAAATCTTATTTTAACAGACTCTTTGAAAAATAATTGTTTCATGTGAAAACAATATCTTGTAGGGTTAGTAACATTTTTAGAAGTAAAATATATGACAAAACTAAGAAAGGAAATAGTATACGATTGTAAGGTTCATGTACTATGCATTAAGTGATATAACAATTCTTGATGGTAGATAGTGGTACACAAAAGATGTATACTATAAACAAACACCGACAATAAAACATAGACATAGCTGAAAGTTAACAAAGAAGATAAAATGGGATAGTAAAAATGATCACCTAATCCAAGATAAAAAAGAAAAAGTGGTAACAAAGAACAAAGAACAGATTGAACAAGTTGAAAACAAATAGCAGATTGGTACATTTACATTCAACCATATCAACAATCACATTAAATATAAATAGTCTAAACACCCCATTTGAAAGCCAGAGATTGCCCAACTGGATTAAAAAAGCAAGAACTAACTATATGCTGCCTATAAGAAACCCACTCTATATAGGTTTATAAGAAAACTGTTCAAAATTAAAAAGGATGAAAAAAATTTATACCTTGCTAATGCTAATCAAAAGAAAATTGGAGTGGCTATATTAATACTAGAAAAAAAAGTAGATTTCAGAGTAAAGAATATTATCAAATATAAAGAGGTTTATTTTACAATGATAAAGTGGTCAAATTGTCAAAAGAAAATTTCTATCCTAAACCTGTATTCATTTAATTAAAAATATAAAAATATATTACATAAAAGTTAATAGAACCAAGAGAAATAGGCAAATCCACAATTATAGTCAGAGATGTTAACACCACTCAATCAATAATCTTATCTTAGTAATCAATCTTAGTAATCAATAGAACAAGTAGAGAGAAAACCAATTATTATACAGAGGATCAGGGGAATATCACCAACTACCTTGACCTAATTGACATTTATAGAACATTCTTCCAATAACAGAAGAATACACATTCTTTTCATGTACAGAAGGAATATTTACCCACCTGGATCATATTCTGGGCTATAAAACAATTCTCAAAAACATTTTAAAGGATTCATCCATACCAAGTCCATTCCCTGACCAACATGGAATTAAATTTGACATTGATACTAAAAAGATAGAAAAATCCATAAATATTTAGCATCCAAATAACACAATTAAATAACCCATGGGTAAGAAATGGATATATTCATTCTCTTGATTGTGGTGATAGTTTCATGGGTGTAAATATATTAAAACTCATTGGGTGGTGTACTTTAAATATGTTGAGTTTAATGTATTTTAATTATATCTCAATAAAGTTAAACAAGACATGTACTCAGGGTTGAAATTTAATAATAACCACAATTTTTATTGCTTCATCAACAATATTCTTATTGTTGAGACTGGTTCTTTTTCTATTATCATCTTGTCTGTCTTCGTTCCCTCTCTTTCTCCGTTTGCCTGCAATGCATGGCAGTGAAGAACATAATAAATACAAGTACAGTTTCGCGTTCTGTCTTGATAAGTGCTAAGGTGCCAGAGTTTCATCCATCAATGTTTTTGTAACATCAGTGCAAAGTTAATACCATGAGAAAAGCAAATCTTGCTCTGGTATTATTATAAAAATTGATCTGACCTTGCACGCAGCATCCTGGGGACTCCCTGGGGGGCCATGGACCACATTTTGAGAACTGCTGTTTTAATAGAAACTTCTGGTCATTACTACTTTAGTCCAATGGTGTCACTTTACAGGTGGGACTTGATGTATGAATATTTTATCGTGGCAACTGTGTGGGGAAGATCTTCTTAGCAGTTGGGTCCTTAATGTGCTTTAAATCACAGAGTAGAGTCTACACAATAATAAAGATGATGACGTCTCCTATTTGACAAGGGCTGTCACTGTAGATTTTAACATTTTTTTCCATAGTGAAAAACAGGGCCTGGACTTGTTTAATTAGATGGAATAGTCATGGGTTATCCTCTATAGGAAGAGTTTAAAGAAAGGAAAAGTTTCTGGATTTCTGAGAGTTTCCAGAATGAAGGAGGAGACAAAAGAAGAATGAGTGAAGGAAAGGGGGAAAAGGGCATGTAGTACATGAGGCACAAGACAAGATAGGAATAAAGTAGGTAGGGATACGTCATAAGAAGAGTTCTGTTGGATTCGTAGACTTACAGAAAGTGGTCAGGAAAGCCCTGACCATTTACTAAACACCATTTACTAAAATCAGCTGCTTGTGCAAAATGTTTTAGATTTGTACAAGGTACATTATACAAATGCATTAGTGGTAGATACTGCTCAGATCCCCCTGCAGGGAAGGACTCTGCTCCTGCTGCTAGAGTGTTGTTGGCAGCTGGCCTCCAGCTGTCAGGTCCTTTGGCTGCCGAGAGCTGCTTGCAGGAAGTCACCCCCTGGAGGTGGGGGTACAAAGCCCCAGCCATCCCAACTCACCCTGGGACAACTCTGACAAGCTACTTCAGATCCAGGGCTCCCCTTGGGGTTGGGTGAGGCTGTGGAGAGGGGCCCACTTCCCTGCTAAATTTGCTGCCTGGCCAGTCCTGTTCCTCTCTCTCCCTCCCTCAGGGGTTTGTCCCAAGGGCACTCCCTGATACACATCCTGAATGCTAAACTCCGGCTCAGAGCCTGCTTCCTGTAGATCCCAAACTGCAACAGCATCTTATTGACTTAAATATAACCAAACTTGGTGAAGCCTCCAGAATGGAAAATCATCATCAAACTATGTGTTAACATTTTAACTCAAGCATTTCCTTATTTCTTTTTCTGAATTGCTTATACTTAGCACGATATCTTTAATATTTTATTTCATATAGGTTTGCTATTTCCACACACACTCCCCACTTTTTATAGGAATCATATTATAGAAAGATAATAGGGTAAGAAAACAGGCTGTTTGTTACCCAGACATTCAGTAAACTCACTAGTTCAAGGTTGGTCTAAGCAACAAGAGTGGAAATAATTGGGACATGTGATAGTGGTTTTGTTCTGAGTATTATAACAACAGAAAGTTCTGAAGTGGTTCAATCATGAGAACTCCATGAATGTAATGAAGAAGCTATTTAATTTTGTTACAGCTTTAAGAATCCAATTGTCACTTAAAACTCATGGACATGAACAAGGTTGATAATTCTGAACATCAGGAAAGTAGGTACTTCCACCCTGTTTTCCCCTGTAGCTCCAGAGGAGGGCACAACAGTGTATTTCCAGAGCAGCCCTATCTTTTTAAACTCACTCTAACAGCCAAGCCCAAGAAAACAGAGTCCATAGACGTTCTGGCTGACTCCGTTACCTCCAGACATCCGCTGTCTGGGAACAGGTCGGTTTCAGTGTCCTGCTCTGATTTTCCTGGGATGGATACATTACTAGGACGTGACTCAGCATAGGCCACGCCCTGATTCTCACAGTGGAAGGAAAAGAGAATGGGGAAATAATTGTCCTGACCACTTAGATCAGAAACCTACAAACCGAATTGAGATATTGTTTTTTTTCCCTCCACCAGGATTATCTTGATAACAGTGATCTTTGATGTGACAAAGTCAATTCAGTTGTATCTAGCTTTTCCTTACTGGGGCCTGCATTAGAGAGGATGACTGCTTAAAGGGTCGCTGTGGACGTGGTAGATCTTATTTCAGGTAATTACTTCAACCACACCTCTCAGTTGGGGAGTATGACGGTCATCTTTTTAGAAGGCAAGGTAACTATTGGTGAGAAAAAAGAGAAAAGGTATTGAGGCTTCCCCCTCCTCTATGCAAAGCCAGAACCAGAACCAGAACCCTTAAACAGAACTTGTTCTGGTTCCGGCTTTGCATGGAGGAGCGGGGAGCCTCAGTTTCCACATCTCTAAAACGGAGTTGCTGTGTACCACACACGATTGAGAACATTAAATCAGGGGGCAGGGGGAAAGCACCCCGGACCGTGCTCGTAGGGAGGCCTCAGTAAACGCCATTCCCCGTGGGAAGAAGAGCTGTGGGCAACCACTCCATAACCGCACAGGGGCTTGATGAAGCCCTGCGCCCCTTTCCATTCCCAGGGATGGCACTGGAGATGGTAACAATGCCTCTTCTCCGTCTCCTCCTCTCTTCCTCTCCAAGACAAGGAAGTAGCCAGCTCAGTTCCCTAGGATTCGGAAGCTTGTGCCTCCCAGAACAGCCCAGCCCGGGGGTTGCTAAGGTCCAGGATGAGGGGGGTGGGGTGGGGAGCTGTAGCCTGCGCTGAAGCCTGCGCAGCGCAGTAGGGAGGCGACCCAGAGCGGTGGGGGTGGGGTGGGGGGGCGGGCGTAGTGGAACCCAAGGGTGGAGAAGAGGAAAAGAGAAGGACGCGCGTTCTCGGGCTCGTGACCGCCGGCGGCCCAGGGAACCCGCGCCCAGACATCCTCGGAGAGATGGCAGGCGGCTGCGCCCCGCGTGTCCTGAGCACCCGCCACCTGCTGCTGCTGCTGCTGCTGCTGGCCACCCTGCCCCTGGCAACCCGGGGGATCAGTCGAGGCGCGGCAGCCTGGACCCAGGAGAAGGTGAGGAACCGCCGTTGCGCGTCTGTACCTGGGCGGCTCTTGCCAGGTGCAGGGATCTGGGGCCGGGCGAGCCCCACCTAGGCAGGGAGGGAGGAGGGTTGAGCGGTGATCCCGGCCCACGCAGCCGTGCCTTCTCGGGCACCCAGAGGAGTCGAGAGTCTGCGTCCTCGCTGGGGTGCCTCTCTGGCCTCGCAGACCACTAGGCAGCTGGGTGATGTCACCGGCCTCCCTTTGGCTGTGTCTGATGCCGGTACTGACAGGCGCAGGAAGTGTATCTCGCCTGCGGTGGCCGGCTGGGAGAGGAGAGCGCAAAGCCCACTGCCCGCTTGGGACCCGCCAGGCCAGGGGTCGCCCCACTCCCATCCGCCTCGGTGCGGACGCACCTGGGGGTGTGCCCACGCTCCCCCACCGCTGCGTCCCAGGACACCTCGGGGATGTTGAAGTTTCCTTGTGTTACTGTTATTCCTTTCTATATTTTTAAGCGGGCTCCAAATCAAGGAACTTAACTGAAGAACTGCCTTACTTACACTTTTTTTTGTCTTAAAAGCGAGTTAAACGCAATTGTCAGAGCAGTGTATTTAGTTGCAGGTGAAAATTTCATAAAAGGAACTTAGAATAAAAGTGCTTTGCAAGTGCCCTATGTGTGAAGTAAGTAGCTCACAATTATTTCCCTTTCTTGTGTAACAGTTTTAAAATCATGAAATTGCTAGGGGTTTGTGCAAATGTTAATGGTATTGAAGTAGAATAGTATATTCTTTTTTTTTTTTTTACATTTTATTTATTTATCTTTAGAGGGGAAGGGAAGAGGAGAGGGAGAGAAACATCAATGTATGGTTGCCTTCGTATGGCCCCTGCTGGGAACTGGCCTGCAACCCGGTATGTGCCCTGACTGGGAATTGAACTGCGATTGTCTGGTTTGCAGGCCTGCACTCAATCCACTGAGCTACACCAGCCAGGGCCTAGTATATTCTTAAAGATACCAAAAAAGCAGCAAAGTAAAGAGATACAAACTTTGCAAGTGTTGTTGAAGAGATCTTTTAAATGCTTGCAATATGCCTGTATTTACTCACACGTTTGAAATACCGAGCACACTGGGGAAGGCACAGGTCCTTTCTCTGGGCCGGTTCCCTAATCACGTGCCTGTGCAGATGAACAGCCGCTTTGGTTCCCTGCCTCAGGCTTAATTAGGCCTTGTCCACGTGGAGACCATCAGCCACAGGGAGCTGGGTGGGGACGCAGGAAGTCAACTCAAGAATAACTTCATTATAAGAACAACAACTTTGTCAGTAAGTGTAATGTTCATTGAGGAACATTGAGGTACATGCACAAATCCTTTCCTTCGCTTCACTGTGAGTACCTTCCTGCTCAGAAACGGGAAGAGCACGTGGCGAACCAGAAGGTGGAGCCACTCCAAGCCTGTCTTCCAGATCCATCTAAGTGGACCCGAGAGAGAGAAAGATGGGAATACTTTCAATGAGATGCTCTGAAGGGATCATTTGTAGGCAGGTTGTACTCGTGGGTGGCAGAAGGTGCTGGATTCTTAAAGTGCTTAAACACACGAGAATTTAACTTTTGGGAAATGTCTTTTAAAGTACAAGTCTCCGTTATATCTATTTTAAGAAGCTCCTAATCACTGCTGTTTGGGGGAACGGGATGCTTTCTGGGAAGATGGTGCAAGCAAAGGAGCAAATGGCCAAATCGACTGCAGTGATTCCTGATTCCTGGTCTCCTCCCTCCTTTCTCTGTAGGCCTTCATAAAGTCCTCCATGTGGCCAGTACAGTTTGCAGCCTGGAAATCAAATTAGTCACCATTAAAATACATGCCTTCCCGCCTTCTGTGGCATATATATTCTAATCCTGTGAGGTGTGCTCTTGGTACACTGGTCTGCCAAAAGGTGAGGCGTGGTAAAGCATCGATTTTGAAATCCATTTTCTTGGCTGTGAAATAAAGGTGGGTCTCTTCCAGTGGCATGTAATATGTAAAAACGATTCAAATCTAGTTTATGGTGTGTTCCAAAGATTGTGACTTTGATTATTTGAAACTTGCAAGCAATTTCTCCATAGAAGCAATATTATGGACCTCACAGTGCCCCTGTGAGGGTACATTTATCCCCAATTTACAGATGAAGAGACTCGGCCACGATTACACCAGTGAATTGAAGAGCCCTCATCTTCTTTCTTCCTCCACTTTCCTCTGCAGGGTAGATGGGTCCTGGCCCATGATTCGGGAACAGTGACCAACTAGGGAAGGAGTGTGGGGCTGTAGGGAGGATCGAGGGCCAGAAGAAGAGCTTATTTCCCCCTCTTTGGGTCGGGTGGGCCTTAAATGGAATTCCAAAGTAGGTCATTTGTTTTTGGAATTTTCTCTGCTCTCACTCCCCATTTCTCCCCTTGCTTATTCTTTATAGAGCTTAAAGTTCATTATTCTTGGGGTTAGCCCATATTCCCAAATTGCTTCTTTTGAATCCTGCCTTCCCCAGTCTCCCATCTTACTACCAACTTCCTTCAGTACAACCTTGCCAACCAGCTATTAAAAGGAATCTCATGAAATCGGTCTTCTCTTAGGTATGAAACTGTTGAGGGCTTCATATATTTTTAAAGGGAAGCTATTAGTTCCAACACATTGAAAAGTATGGCTTCTCTTGAAGTCTCCCCATTGTAAAGTTCACATGTGCTCATTTTAGAAAACTAGGAAAATACAGAAAAGTACACTAAAAAGAAAACTATTATCACCCATAATCCCACATTCAGGGATCATTGCTGTTAACCATTTTGGTGTTTTAATTTCTTCTCTCTCTCTCTCTCTCTGTCTCTCTCTTTCTCTCCCAGTTCAGGTCATACTAGGGGTGGGGGGACATATTCTTTGAACAGAGCAACCACATATAGGGGAGTTGTCCTCACCTAGGAGTCCTCCTTCAAGGTCAGCGCTGGCGAGCTGTTACTGCTCTCCCCGGCATTTCACATTCCTCTGCTTCTAGCACCACATGTATTCTAAAAGTTCTTAGGGTTCCCCATTTCCATGGCTCTTAGTCATCCATCTTCCCCTCTGCCTACCATGATTCTTATGGAAAGAGCAACAGAGCCTTCAAGGCAGGCAGGGTCAGGGAGGTCAGTGGTAGGCTGGGTGTTGGTGGAGGAAAAAGATAAAATATCCCACTTTGAGCTTTTACTGCAGTAAGTACTATGACATCCCTTTTAGAGATAAGGAAACTTGCCCTGGTCACAGCTCTTAAGTCAGGGGGCTGGAATTTGAGTCTCAATGTTCGAAGCCTGCACTGCTTTGCTTTTAGTTAGATGCCTGCTCACATTGAAAGAAGATGTAACGTTATCTTATTTGGGCCCTATTCCACACTGCATTTGTAATGTCAGTGGCATCCCAGCAGTTCGGTAAATGCTGGCTGGGATGAATTTACAGGTAGGCACAGGTGTTAACCTGAGTGCCGTTGGGAGATTCTCATATGGGATGGAAACTGGAATTGAATTGGCTGAGCTTCTGTAACGATCTCCCTTTAATTCAGTGATTTGGAACCTCAAATCCCTCTGCAAGCTGGGCCAGCTCTACCAATTATGTAATTAAACCCCCCTTTGGCTGGGCACCATGTGATTAGCCTGGAGGAGCTGCTTCAGGATATCTGGTTCACAACTTTTTAGCTGAAAGATTTTCATCACCCGAAGCAGATTTATTGTCCTTTCTGCATGGGTGAAAAGACAAGGCAGGAGCTGTCACAGAGACTCATTCTTCTGAGAATTCCTGTACCAATAGAAAATTGGCCACAGGTCTTTTAACTGAACTGAACCTAGAATAATTTGGGCTTTTGCACTTAACATTGGCTAAACACTCTTTCTGCCTCATTCACTTTGCTCACGCCCAGCCCACACTTTCTCCCCAGGTTTCTCCTCTTTTTCCTTCCTCTCATCTCCACGTAGATATTTATGTTTATTGAGTTCAGAGAGTGAGTCTCCAGAAAAATTGAATGAGTGCCATTTAGGTTAGAGAAGTCAAGGGCTTCTTCATACAGGACTTTAATGAATAGAAGGACTTAAGTCTTTAACTGTGGTTGTCTCCCCTCTCTATCCCTCACTGACTGGGCAGCTTTTCTCTCTGTGATGTCACAGGGACATCTTTCCTCCCAGTGAAATAAAGAGAGGGGAGGGTTTTTTATGGAAGTACATTAATTAAATGGTTGAGCCCAGGAGACTCAAGAATCCATGCAAGACTCCGTATTCAGGAGCATCGATGGACCTGTTTGCAGAACTTACCCTTTATTCGTCCATTAAACAGTTTTTGGGTGATATTTGTCAACTGTGTTACATCTAAAGATCCTGGACAGTTATTTGTTTTGTTTCTCCTTTTTTTCCCCCGAAGTCCCTTAAGAGCCCTTTCAAGACTCCATAAATTGCCCATTAAAACATGAGCTTGAGTTCCTTTTGCTGTGGACATGACCTCATGCACAGCGACCAGGTAGAGTGTAGGATGGCAAAAATATCAATCATTAGAAAAGAAGTCACAGTTTAAACAGGTTTTGAAACAGTGGTTCTTTAAAAAAAGATTTTATTTATTCATTTTAGAGAGATAGGGAAGGGAGGAAGAGAGAGAGGGAGTGAAACATCAATGTGTGGTTGCCTCTAGCACACCCCATACTGGGAACTGGCCTACAACCCAGGCATGTGCCATGACTGAGAATCAAACCGGCAATGCTTTGGTTCATAGGTCTGAGCTCAATCCACTGAGCTACACCAGCCAGGGCCAAAACAGGGGTTCTTGATTATCACAATGACTGCCCTGGGCCAACCCAGCTCTAAATCATCACAAGCACTGACCATCAAAAATTCAAAAAGAACAAAGCTCACCGACATTGAACTACAGCATTTCCTGGTCATTTGCCACAGGTAGACAGCCACCTGTCTCTTCTGTCTTTATAATCGTTTGTGCGCTCAACTAACTTGATGTTTATGACAGCAAAAAGCCTATTTTACTTTAGTAGGTAAACACAGTCTTAGTGAAGATAGTTTTAGAAAGATAATCACCTGTCACTTCCTTATTTGATGAATTCATCCAATATTTATTGAGTGCTCTATATGAGCTAGGAAAAGAGTGGAAAATAAGAGAGTTTGCCCTCACGGAGCTGACACCTTGTATGAAATCAGACATTAGACAAGTAAAAACTGAAGGAAGTGGCCTCTGTGCTACCACCAGGTGAAGAGGAAGGGAAAAGGTGCCACAGATACGAAGGCCCCAGTGGAGGACAGCGTGACACTGCTTTGGGGCCTGGGAGGGTGCCAGAGTGACTGAAGCCTGGTGAGCTGGGTTAAGTGGCCCTGCCTGGGGCATGTGGGTCAGCAGGAGAGACCAGATAAACTCTCGTTGGCTGTTGGCTGGGTTAAATAATAATTAACCATGTAGGTCTTCCGACTTTTCGACGCTATTTCCTTCTTTTCCCTTCTTCCATTTGCAGTGGTTTGCCTTTTAGCTTTAGCTTTCTTCTCAATGTGCTGTTTAGAAGTTAACATGGATGAACTTGGGCGGTAGAGGTACCAAGTAATTTAAAGGCTGCAGGGGCAAATTTATTAAGAAAATGTATTTTAAAATGTATTACCAATAAACAAACACAAACCTTAAGATGTTCAGGCACAGCATCAACATTTGGGAGTAAATGGGAAGTGCATAGATGGGGGAGGGAGGCGGGGCTGAACTAGCACCGGGTTGGGAATCCACAGAACTGGGATCTTTCCATGGACTTACCAGGAACTCTCCTACCACCGCGGAAAAATCAGCTGGTTTCCGCGAACTTCAGTTCCCACTAACATAAATTAAGGAGGTTGATCTAGATCATCTCTAAATGGTTTTTCCAGCTCTCACCCCTTTTGTGTTTGATAGAAGGCAATAAAACCAAAACTTATTGAATATTTACTCTGGCAGTTTACATGTAAGATGGGGATGTTATTACCTCCATTATACAGATGAGGAAATTGAGCCTTAGTGAGATCAAGTAACCTCACGAGAGGTACAGCTAGTAAGCGGTGAGGGGGCTGCGTTGAGGGGGTTTGTCTGAACCCACACCCCAGGCCTTTTGCGTGATGATACCAAAGAGTAACGCTGAGACATATCCAAGTGTAGATGAATGTAAGTAATTAGGCAATGAGTATTCTCGAATTCCAGAGTTTCTCACCAGCCACATATGGAGTATTCAACATGGAATGAGATACCTATGTGATTACTTCAACATATTCAATAAACACTGGTCCCTGCAAAGACTGTATAGTAGACAAGTCTGCCCCAATTTCCGTTTTGCACTCCAAGAACTTAATGGTTCTATGTTACCTTCATCATCCCCCTTGGGGAAGAAATCATCTGATCAACCCATTCACTTCCCTGTGGGGAGGAGTAATATTCCGTCATTGAGTATCTGACAAGCCTGTGATGAATGAACGATTCGTTGCTGCTGGTATCAAAAGTACGGAGTAATATCCAAATTACAAATTTGAATGTTATGTTTATGTATCTGTTTAAGTTTCACTTAACTAATATATCAGTGTACCTAAAAATGTGAACATTAACAGAATATTAAAATAATTTTAACTGAAGATAAAAAGTGTATTATTTTTTGGGTTACAGAATCATCAAGCTCTGGCTGGAAAGAATTGTAACACTCATGTAGATTAGAGCTATTCAAGAGAAATAAACAATGAGAAGCATATATGAAACTTAAAAATTTCTAGTAGCCATATTAAAATGTAAAAAGCAATAGGTGAAAATAATTTTGATATATTTTGTATAACTCAATATATCAAAAAATTAACATTTCTATATATCATCATATAAAAATCATTAATGAGACATTTTACAACTTTTTCATTTAAAATCTTTGAAATCTAATGTGCATATTATACTTAAAATACATCTCAATTTGACCACTACATTTCAAGGGCTTCATTGTCATAAGTGGCTGGTCACTACTGTATTGGACAGTGCAGATGTAGCTTAAATTCCCTTATTAGTTTTTGAGGGTAATGAGAAGTTAAGGGACCTACCTAGGGTCATACAACCTGTAAAAGGCAGCAACCAGGTTTGAATCCAGCTTCTCTGATTCCAAGACAGTGCTCATTTGGTAACACCACACTGTCTTTTTAAAAGCAATGATGTTAATAGAATATATTGTTTTGTTGTCTGTAGTTTTTAAAGTATTGAGGTTTCTTAAGAACAGGATATCTATAACTGATATTTTAAAATCTTAGTTTTACAAAGCAATTGTACCAGAAGTTATTAAAGCTTACACAGGAAATAAGTATTAAATATTAATTTTTAGGTTCAAAGCATTATAGTAACTTTGTTTTTAAAGTAAGCTGCCAAACAATTAGTTTAACTTTTAAGATCTAAGGGGTCAATTTTTAATTTGACTCGTTTAATGTGCCTTGTATAACAAGAGCTATCATTTCAAGGTTGAAAGCCAATATTGTTCAATTGCAAATGTCTCAAGGTAAGTCTTAAACATACTATAAAATGATAGTCAGTTAAATAATGCTGTTTAATCCTCAGAATTATCACCAACCAGCCGTTCTGAACTCATCATCTCTTAAGCAAGTTGCAGGAGGCACCAGCATTTCTGGAATGTGGCAAAATGACTTACGACCCCTGCTGATAGAGCGATACCCAGGATCCCCTGGGAGCTATGCTGTTCGTCAGGTGAGCACGCAGCATGCAAACCTGAGGGCTCTCTAATACTTTGCTCTCACGTGAGAGATAACACATCCAAAGTTCAGAGTTATTTAATTTTTAGATCTGTATTCTAATCTTTCGTTCACCAAAATAAGCAACCAGGGAAACCAAACAACTGAGAGTAAATGTCTGTTTTGTTGAGCGTTACATGTTAATAAATCCATTTACATGTGAAATCTCTGTGTGGGGTACAACATCATCCTAAGTGTTCAACTCGTGATCATTTCTATAACAACCAACCCCTTGGACCCAAACATTAACAGCTGAGAACATTCTTGCTTGATGGTTCTGGACTGAGAGCGGGTCGCTGTCCTATCAGGCCTTCATTCCCCTTTGGGAAATTGCATCCTCCCTGGAGGGAGGGCGAAGATCAGCTGCTTTTTCCAGTGCAGTGCTTCTCAAGCCACTGACTCTGGCCCATGGCAATAAATAAATAAATAAGCAAACATTTTATTTATATATTTATATTAAATATGTACATGTAAAATGCCACATATATGTGGCATTTATATACACAAACATAAAAATGCATATATACATATATAATGCCTTATATCTGTATCTATATCTAAATGGCATTTTATACACACAAATATAATAAGCCACAGGCTGGGCTAGACCTTGAATGTTGCTTTGCCTCCTTAGTGCTCTCTACCCTGAATGACTGTTTTTTTTCTTCCCCAAACTAGTCTCATTTCAAGGGGCAGCTTAAGAAGCAGTGACGGAGACTGGCCCATCATCCCCTCTGAGAGTAATCCACCTGCCTAACTCTTCAGGGGCCAGGGCTGTGACAGAGTGACCCCTGCAAAGCCAGCAGCACAGCTGTCAGGCCAGCCGCCGTTTTACCCAGTACACAGCTTCCACCCCTCAAGCCTAGCCCAGACAGCCACTGTCTGTTACCCCATTAGCTGCTTGCCTTCCATCCAAACAGTTCCTGCTTCTCTAAGGAATTAGATGGTGGAGGCCTGAAGAACACCTTAGTTGTTTCTACCTTCTAGGCTGAATAACTAATAATAATGATGATGGTGGACTTTCACCAAGCACTGTTTTGAGGTCAGACACAGTATGGAGTCCTTTGTGGGGATGATCTCATTCAGCCCTCACAACAATGCTACCATGTGAGTGTTACAGATTAAGACCCAAACGAATTGGCTCAAGGTTATACCCTTACCAGTGATAAGGCCAGATCGTGGACCCAAATCGGACTGCTTGACTTTTCCATCTTACCCCGGAGAAGGGATGCTCGGGGGAGCCAGCTCGGCGGTGTGTGCTCACAAGTGTCTGGCTGTGCATCTACTCGTGCCTGTTCCGGAGAGCGAGGCACATACTACTCATTTTACTGGTACTCCCTGGGCCTCATCTCCTGAGTATTTTTTTGTTTTTGAAGCTCTGGGTACTCATTGGGGCTTTCCAAAATCCTCAGTTCCTCATTAGAGATTATCTAGGTCTCTTATACTCAATTCAACCTTTTTCATTTCCTCATACCATTTGCTCCTTAGGGTGTACATACCCAGAAACACACATACACACTCAGAGCTGAGGTCCCCCACCTGGGACCTCTACAAAAAGACTACAAACACAACTATTGCTATGTTGACCTTTACCTAGCTTTAACAGACTATACAGCACCAATAACATGCACAGATACTATGTGATTAAAATACAAATCCGTTCTAAAGTGTTACTGTAATATTTTCTATGTCATATCAGGTGGTGACAAATGAGAAACTTACTGACAATTTTTTAAAATGTGTTGAGCCTAACAGGGTGGTTGTGTTAGAAATCTCACTTAAGTGGTTCGATATTATAAGTTTTTGAGAAGAAAATCACCATGAGGTTTTTTTTTTTTAAGATTCTATTTATTCTTAGAGGAGAAGGGAAGAGGTTGAGAGGGAGAGAAACATGGGTCGGTTGCCCTTCCCACATGCCCTGACAAGGACCATGTCTGCTGCCCAGGCACGCCCTGACCAGAATAGAACAGGTGACCTTTCACTTTGCGGGATGACGCACAACCAACTGAGCCATGCCCGCCAGGGCTGCGCCACGAGTTTTCAGACAGCTGCCTGCTAAGCTGTGAAAGATAAAGGGTTTCCACTTTTGATGATCAGGTGCATGGCCCATGAGTTATTACGAGGGAACTAGACTAATGATCTTTATTTGAATTAGTACCCTTTACTCAGAGCTAATTTTAAACAAGAATGGTGGAAATTTTATTTTTTTCCTCTAAGGCCTGTGTGAGCCCTAAGCTAGATTTTTTATAATTTACAGAGTTTCAGCATTGTAACTAGGCAGGACTCTCAAATCTAAAAAAAATGTGGACTTGATATAAAATTAGTGAATTACTTTTGGTAGTTCTCAGTGATGTTCATTGCTGTGGAGATTCCCTTTCAGAGAGGGATATATGAACAAGATCCCTTAGTTTGCATTTTTATTATCTCTGACCAATGAACCAGAAGGTGCCTGTTGGATTTTTAGAATATTTGTATTTGAGGAGATAATTTATTGGTAAAGTAAATAATTTGAAGCCATTAAATCAGGGGTTAATTATTTTAGTGATTTCTAGCTGAGATAGGAAAAATATAAATTAAAAAATCAGGATGATAAAGTCTCACGAAAGAGCAAACCAGAAACTGTCTAAAAGAGGCAAACTAGAAATTTCAGGGTGAAAGTCCCTGATAAATGCTGAGTGCATCAGAGAAGCTGACAGGTATGGGCTTCTTTTGTAAAAGGCACGTGTGGCCCAGTGAAGGGCCCTTTGGAGAGAGCCCTCAGCTGGGACACAGAGACTAGTAAGTGATGCACCCAGGGAGGAAGAGGTGTGTGAAGTCCCCGGTGGCAGGATTCAGCATCCTGACAAGGGTCTGTCTGCAAGTTTAATGCAAATACAGCAGAATCTGCTTCCTCCTAAAAGACCTAGTCTACTAATGGCATTGTTTCTCAGAACCTGGACACGAGGATTTAAGTTGATAAATTAGAACCAGGATCGTTCACTAATGTTAACCAAAATTCTCCCCACCTCCCCCAACCCTGGAGTCATATTTGCCTTTATCTTTTTTCTCTTCCCCACCTCTCCAACCCCATCTCTTTGTCTCTCTCTCCTGGTCTCCACCTCTCTTTGTATCCTTTTCTTTCTCTCTCTACTCAGTCTCTGTCTATGTCTTTATTTCCCCCCGTATCCATCCATTCATCCCTTTTTCCTTCTCTCTTCCCCATTTGAAAAATAGGTGTATAATAATCCACAATAGAGCCTGCATTCTAAATTGCATTTGAGTATGGCTGGTGGGCCCAGGCTTTTGCTCCCCGAAGTGAGGGAAGCACAGCAGCTTTAGACTCAACGCCCCTCCCACCCCCAACACTGCCAAGCACCCCCCACCGAGGGGCATTCTAGTGAGAAGAGCAGCAGTTTTGGGAGCCTACTCCACAGAATTGTAGTGTGAGCTTGCAGATTAAGTCTGAAAGCCAAAAGCAAAACAATGAGGGATATTTGTGATGTAACTAGATTATGCAGCCAGTTTGATTGTTTATAAAGAAATTAGTTGCTAAGACAAATAAAAAATATTTATACTGAATAAAAAAGATTATTTTAGGGCAAATTCTTTCTGGGGCATTTGCCGATGCTTTTGAGGATTTTACTGTCAATGTAGACATCAGAAATTATCATGACTGGTTTAGTAGTTGAGAAAGGAGTTTGTGTGCAAGACTTCAGCAGAGCAAAGCTAACATATATATTTTTAAATCCCAATTCCTTTTGTAAGCATGAAGTCTGCTATTGTTCCTGAAGATATTTTATGGAGCAGTTCATCATCTGGATACCAGATGTTTTGGAATACATGCCTTTTTTTTTTAGATGACCCCTTTTATGGAAAAATTTTTTTCCTCAAGTCTAGAGATAACTTATTTTCATATTCTGTGTAAAGCTTGTCTTAGATGCACAGTGCTTTATCTCTATCCAGACTACTAATGTTCTATGCCATATAATTTTATATATTCTCACTGAGAATAATTTATAATTAAGGATAGAAATATTTTTAAAGAATGAAAAAATAATTTGTTAATTCAGTCGACCCATATTTACTGATGGTCAACTGTGAGCAATGCCCAATCCTAAGAATTGTGGAGAATAACAGAATAAATGAGATGGAAATGATGGTTTCAAAAAGATTCCAAGCCTTTCCTTCTGTTACATGAAAAGACAACTTGTCAACCTTCTCTTTTCAAAAGACAACTTCTCTTTTCAAGAGAAAAAGGTAAGGTACTGTGTATGTGTGCTACTTAGGCCGCAGTCCGCCTCCCTGCAGAAAGCAGAACGTGGGTAGCTGGAGAATTGCGTGTTTATTTGGCTTTTGCAGGACTGACTGTGGAGTCGCTGTCCCCCCCTGGTTTAGTTCTTCTCTTCCTGGAGGCTTCCTGCCACGGTTTTTCCAAGGCCCTTGCCTACGTGTCATGTCACATTAGGGCAGGAGGCCACACAAGGCTTGGCAAGGCTGGGATATTTTGTATTTCCTTGGGAGAAAAAAACATCTCCCATTCTTTTCCACTTATGTTATTTGTTTATCATCTCAAGGTCCATCCTCACCGATGTTAATTGTGGAACAGATTGCTGGTTATGTGGATGGTTAGTTTGTTAGTTGACTAAAGAAAAAACCTTTAAGGCAACCTACAAAGATGTAAATATTTCACGATAAAGTAAAGTAAATGGAACCCAGTGAGAAAAATGAGGTAAAGGGGAAATAAAGGCAGGAAAGGGCAGATGGAGCAGCAAGGAACTCACCCGTCAGTTCTCACAGCATGAATTCGAGATTCTTGAAGAAGACCCTTCCAGTCCCTAGGATGAAGTTTCTTTTCCCTCTGCTACTTTAGCTCATCATTTGCTATGTTGTGTATAAGGCCTCCTAAAATAACCAAGTGAGATGAGAAAATTGATTTTTAAAAATTTTTATCAGCATGTGCAATAGGTCTGGACCCTCCTTGAGTGCAGAAGGGAAACTGCTTGACAGTTACTGTGGTTCAGAGTTGCCTAGTGATTCTTGGCATTGGCAGGACCTCACATATCCCCCAACCATCCCCTTGTTGTGGGACTCTTTATATTATCCCTAGCAGGGGAGCATCAGTGTCTTTTGTTGGTGTTCATTATATTTGGTGGACTTGGGGCACATGCTCCATACTGGGGACCTGAAGAGCTACCACGTTCAGTGCTTGTCTTCAAAAAGTGTAGCGTAGAAGTTGACATCAGTAGGTCCCTGTATGTCTGATTTCTCAAACATGCCCTCTTAGCCTCCTAGAAAAATCGAAAGCGTACTGTAGACACACTGAGCTGGATCTCTGTCTCCTGACATGTAGAAAGGTTCACGTTAGATTGTTAAGTGAGACAAATAGGATTCAATTCCTATAAAAAATGCACCCCTCTGTCAAATATATGTGTTTGTGTGTTAATATATATTTATATAAACAAAGGGGAGATAGACATCAGACTCTTAACATTAATAATATTAACAATGGGCAGGGGGAATATTGGGGGAAAGAGTGAGGATTACCTTTTACTTTACACATCCTTGCTATTAATTTAAAAAGGCATGTATTGCATTCATTTGAAAGGTAGTCCATAAAAATTTTAAACTATATTGAACAAACAAAACCTGTCTCAATCTGAAGTTTTGTTTTTTGTTTTGATCAGCACATCATGCAGAGAATTCAGAGACTTCAAGCTGACTGGGTCTTGGAAGTAGACACTTTCTTGGGTCAGACACCCTATGGGTACCGGTCTTTCTCAAATATCATCAGCACCCTCAATCCCACTGCTAAACGACACTTGGTCCTCGCCTGTCACTACGACTCCAAGTTTTTTCCTCATTGGGACAACAGGGTGTTCGTGGGAGCCACTGACTCAGCCGTGCCGTGTGCGATGATGTTGGAACTTGCTCGTGCCTTGGACAAACAACTCCTTTCCTTGAAGGTATCTTGTAGATTCGTGGGATAAAACACATTAGAGTAACTCAGAGTGAATTTTAGAGTGCTTGGGAGGGTGAGAAGGCCATTTTGAAATGTAGATTTTCAGTGCATTTTGTATTAATTGTTTGCAAAATTGTGTGAGTTTGAGTGAATATTAATTGGCAGATTACATCATTAGCCTAAGGTATATGACAGTAAATTCGTTAATTGACACCTGAATTCATTAGTTTTGAATGCACATTAAGTTAAGTGCAAATTTCATTGTGAAAAATGGAGACGGCGGAAGGTTGATACAGGGATCTGTGTGAGCACTCTGTTTATTTCTTCTTGTTATGGAGCCCCGAACATCAGAACCTTCTGATCTGAGAGGTGGTGGCTCCCCAGAGTGAGTAATTCAGACATGTAAAGAGGAAAAGCATGAAGCAAAAATGCATTATTGTTATTATCTGTGAATCTCGGCTCAATTTTATGCAGCATAGCAGAGCTTTTGTTGTGTTCTCAGCTCAGAATACTTCAGGGACTCTCAGATGTTATTTCAGTCTCTGTGTTATTGAGGGTATAGTGGAAAAAAGTGCTGAACTAGATGAAGACATTTTGTTCAGATATCACTCATAACCAAGTAAACACAACAAAGCAAAAACAAAAAACTTTGTTCACAGGCAACGAATGCCTTTTTTCCCCTCAGAGCTTTATGAAGGGGCCAGCCTTTGGTACAATGGGGATAAAGAAGTAAAAGGTTTATCTTGTAATGGAAGGAATAGAGATATTTGGTGCTATTTTTGCTGGATATGCTGAACTTGAAGAAAGCAAGAATTGTTTATAAGCTGTCGGTATCCTTTTCACTGTTTTTTCATTTTGTTTTCTGAACCTTCTGTGATGTTTTTGTCCCCTGCTCCACCCTGCTTTTTTTCTTTGTATGAATTCTTTTTTTTAAATACAATTTTTATTATATTTCTCCCATTGCCATTTAGCTTCTTTGTAACCTTCTGCCCCCAGCTTTCACCACCCTGTTGTCCGTGTCTATGAGTCCTTTTTCTTTTTTTTTTTGCTCAGTCCTTCCACCCCCTAACTCTAGCTGCTTTTCTTTCCCAGCAATTGAGTGAGGGAGTTCAGAAGCTGATATAAGTTTCATTTTTTCATATTTCCATTCTAGTGTAAGGACATGAGATGAAGTCTGACTTAGAGGCACAGGCTGTGACGTGGCCGTGTTTTCTCTGGGGGAGCTCTTTTGCCTTTCCTTGTAGTTCATACTTGCTTTTGGTAGAAAGGGCTGAGTGAGTTGTTGGGTAGCATTTCCCATTAAAAACACAACATGAGTTCTCTTATTCTTGCAAATAGAGGTAAACAGCGATGTAGACAATTTTTTTTAAAGGGCTAGTTTTGGATACAAACATTGAGAGTAACAGATTTTTTCTTTCAGTTTAACTTAATCAGTATGAAGAAGTTATTTTAAGTTCTTCAGCTGTCATGGATGAGGTAGGTGGTGGTGGAATGTGACCTGGAGAGGACCGGAGAGTAGGCTGGGTTATTGTTCCTGCTCTTTGCAGCTCTCCCTGCTCCAGTAATAAGGTTATATTAACATTTTTTGCCTTATTACTTTGCTGTGCTCTCCACCTGTAGCAGATTGTACTTTATCGTTCCTCGACTCTGGGCTTGGTTATTTGACATGTCTTGGCCAATGGGATGCTCGTCCATGTGACAAAGCAGAGGCCAGAAATCTACTTGTACAGTTGGGCTTGCTCCCTCTTGCTCTTGCCACCACCAGGAGAAGGGCATGCCCTGCCAGTCCCCAAGGAGGAGAAGAGTCATGTGAGCAGAGCCAACCGGGATGACTGCAGAGTGAAGCAGAGCTCCTCCAGCCCAAACCAGCCTCGATCAGCTGTCCCCCAGCTGCCCCATGGACCCCGGAGGACACATGATTGTTGTTTTAAGCCACTGAGTTTACGGTGGTGTTAGCTGAGATGGTGTTGGATGGGGAAAGACTGCAGATAATTCACCAACTACGTTGACGTAGTTGGTAATCAGGCATTTATTGTATTGTCTTGAAGAAAGACTGGAAGACCTTCACAAATCATACCACACAGATAGTGAGGAAGGCAGAAGAGAAGCAGGGGGCTGGGAAGGAGAGTGTACATAAATATAAGGAGCACTTAGATAGGCAGGTTTCCACCCCACACCTGGCAAATAGATGCGTACCCCACCTGTGTTCTTGTGGGAGAGGAGAAAATGTTTTTTTTTCTGGAGAAATTGAACCAGGGAGGTTCTGGATGTGTGGGGACACCAGCTAAAGAGGAGGGCAGTGGTGAAGTACCTCATGGAAATCAAGGAGATTAGGTGAACAGGGGGGGGGTCCCTAGCCTTTTCCCCACCTCCAGCATGGGAAAGGCAGTGGCTAGCTTATACCCAGCACATGGGAAACTGGAGGATCCTTCTCTGGAGAACATAAACCATCCCTGTGAAAGTACCACCTGGGCCTGGATTGCCCTGAAGTGAGGCCAACCATGTGTGTCCCTAATCAGTGTTACAGGACCTTATTCTTTCATATGAATGAACACAAAGGATGACCAGTCATTTGAGGACAGTCTCCAGCACAAAAGAAAACAAGCAAAGCAAATAATGCAAATTGAAAAATGAACTCAAAGGAAACAGAGTACAAGGAGCAGAAGATAACTTGAAGGGCAGTTTTTAATATCCTTAGAGAGATAAGAGGAGAAGTTACATCTCTAACAGGTGAAGGAAACATCAGAGTCAGTTTGGTCCAATGGGAATACATTCCCTCAATACTTTAGTGAGGCGCAGAGAGCAAATGGTTGTATGTTTTTCTCCAGCCAAGTTTAGCTGCATGAGTGCAGACACAAAAGAGGCAGAGAGTTCGACTTGGGGTTATGTTTTTGCCCTGTGAGTTTGACCAAGGCTTGGGAGGTGAGTGTGCTTTCAAGGGAGTGATTACAATGATTGACTCTGGAATTTAAGCAGAATATGAAGTAAGGACATCGTGGGGGTGAAGGACTCTGAAAAAAATGAACGATTCCATGGATTAGGGATTCCAGTGGGGCTGATGGATTGTGGAGATCAGGTTACCGGCAGGACTAATCTGAAAGGTGGGAGTTGTCAGAAAGTGAAAAGTCATCAGAACCCTGCTCACACTCCTAAATTCTCCTGAAATACTCGTGCATGAAGTCTTCTTCGACACCCCAAGGATTCAATCTCTTATTCTATCCAGTTCCCAGATGAGTTTCATTTTACGTTTGTGACCCTTGGCCATGCTCATGTATTTCTTTTATCTTTCCTACCCCCAACTGAAGTGTAGGTTTCTTCAAGGGGCGAGGCTGCAAGTATTACTCTTTGTGTCTCTGTTGCATTCCTAGGCAGATCCTCGAACCTAGACTCACTAGAAAGATTGCAGACAAATCAGGGGAGAAGCAAAAATGATACCCAGTTATTCAGGTTGGGTTTCTTGGGATGCACAGTCTGACATTGAATTTAGCATTTAGGTCATTTCGTAGGGAGGGGCCTGGGCTCAACATCTGTGGCAAGGGGAGAGAAAGGGAATTAGGCAGAAGAAGTCCAGCTGCCATGCGGGTATGATGGCTTCAGCCAAACTCTGAGGATCTCTGGAGGTGGTGTGGCCTTTTAAAATTCTCTGAAGAGTTAGAAAAAAATCTATGACTTCTATTTTTAGGGGAAGTGGGTAAAGGTGAGATTTATATAGGGGTAGCCTATGAGAGGTGTGATGATTTTTGGAGAGGAAGTGGTGCAAAATAGATTTTGGCGTAGTTTTACTCACTTTGTTATTTTCCTTTTCTTCACTCATAGGAAAGTGTGCTATTTTTCTAACCAGCCATTATGCCATCTTTTTACCAGAATGTTTCCAAGCCAGACCTGTCACTCCAGCTGATTTTCTTCGACGGGGAAGAGGCTTTCCTTCACTGGTCTCCCCAGGACTCTCTGTATGGGTCCCGTCACTTAGCTACGAAGATGGCATCGACCCCCCACCCCCCTGGAGCGAGGGACACCAACCAACTTCACGGCATGGTTAGTCCGGGTAGTATCTGTGGCACTGTGGCTGCAGGCTCTGCCTCACAGGAAGCCAAAACTAAAGCCAATTAAAGACCTAAAAGTACCACAGCATCCTTGGAGCAGAGTGTTTATAATAGAACATTCCTTGGCAGGCGCTGGGTTTTTGAGGAATCCCAGAGCTAAAAAGAATGATTCTGGGTTAGCAGTTACTTACATTTGAGCTTAATTAAAATATTATTAAATCTTTTCTAAATTAAATAGTATTACAATATTATTTTGCTTTTTTAATTAAACCATTTTATTGATATAAAAATCAATGGAAAGTTTAAAATTTAAATTATTTTTTCAAAAATGTAAAAAGGTTTAATTACAAGAATATGAAACATCTAATTAAGGAGACGCCAGATTCAGTTTGGTGCAATGGGGCACATTCCCCCGGGCTGTGTGGGGGTGGAGAGTGTCCCTTCTCTGAGGCCTTGCTAGAGCCTGGAGGGTCCAGATGAAGCTGGAGTGGGACGTGGTATGAGGATGGGAGTGAGGAATTTCCTCAGTGGCTTCAGAGCGTTGTACTGACTCCAAGTGTGTATGTGACATTTTGATGTGTCTGTTCCGACATGGTGTTTTTGACATGGGGGTGGAGACATTTTGATGCTGCATTTGCTCTTATTACCAAGTGATGGACGCAATACCCGTTCCCATTTTCATCTCCATTTTTGGACCCACACCCCAACTCCAGTTCCTCACCCTGCTCTTGAATTCTTCCCATATTTGACCTTTACTCAGTCATGGGTCCTTACTAACTCCAGCTTGGGACTTCATGCCACCCTCGAATCCTCATTCTTTTCTGTGCATTGCTGATCCTTGCCCTGTGAACTGCAAGCCTATTCCTATCCCTTCCACTCATCCCAGTCCTGTGTCCTACCCTCCGAGTCCGCATGGCCACATTAAATGTCCTCTATGACTCTGGCACATCCCATGTTGGCATTCTCTCCATCCTATGGCGTGGGCAGCTCGTAATGGATCAGGGGAATATGGTCAGCACCTCATTCAGTCACTTGCACCCAAGTGGCTAAAAAGGATTCAGAAGAAGAGGAGAGACCTGGCTGATCAGTAGGAAGAACAAAGGTATTTATCCGTCCAAATATAGAATCCATAGTGATGGTTAAGACCATGTTTTCCCCCTGGAAACAAAGTCTTAATAGCTTATCTAACCTTGTGAATATATTCTGATTTCAAACAAGCCTGTTTTCCTAGTGAATACAGGGATGGGAAACAGTAGGTTTAGAGTTGTGAGTGACATGCTTTTGAGTTAATAAAGCTATTGTAACAATCATAACCTGCATGTTTTTTCCCACACGAACAACTGTAAACCTACTTTTATCCACCCCTGTATATTTAATCATTCATGAATTAATAGATACTATGAGTTTAAGATCACAGATTACAAATATTTACCTACCATGTGCCCAAATCTACACTAGATATTTACCACACATTACCTCATCTATACAAACCAGGAGTTCTTAATCCAGAGGTTAGTCTTCAGGGAGTCCCCAAGTCTGTTGATGTTTTATGGCTCAAACACTTTAAGGGGCACTAATTTAATGTAGAGCTTATGACCTGAATGGAACTTTAGAGATCAGCAAGTATGAGCTTCTGGTTTGACAGAAGGGAAATGGGGATCCCAAGACATAAATAAGGTCCTATAGCTCCTACTCAAGGAATATTCTGATATGCTGCTTTGCGAAATACCATATTTTTCAGACTATAAGATGCACTCACTCCTCACCCCCCAAATCTGGGAGGAATAATGGTTGTTGCTGCTGCTGTTGAGTTCTGTTTACATTTACATTGGTGAAATATTGTGTTATTTATGTTATTAAATATTTCACCCCATTTTTGGCTTCAAATTTTTTTCCTCCTCTAAAACCTAGGTGTGTCTTATGGTCAGAAAAAGACAGTAAATAGTTACTAAACGTCCTCCTTGAGGCGGTTGTGCCACTGTAGACAAAGGATTCCATGGCTCTCCCTGATGGACTAGAAGACCAGGCAGGCTGGGGCTCCCATCTGAGAATCAAGTTAAATGTACTCTTTTTAAATCTATGAAATGCTTGTCCAAATGTGATCTTTATACCTTACCCTTAGGGATATTCTTCTGGGATTCCAGGCACAAAGAATCTACACTTTGCCATTTAATAGAAATCAAGATACAATAAGTTTTTCCAAATTGTTAGCTTACCATGTTATTCAACCTTTTGTTTATTTGTACAGCTGCCTAGGTTATTCTTAATTATTAAACTGCCATTAGTTTTGACTGATTGGTGTTGTTTTTTCCATCGATGAGTATGAAGTGTGTTTTGATGGCAGTGATGAAGTAATATTTTTTCTCCCTTAGGATTTATTAGTCTTATTAGACTTAATTGGAGCACCAAACCCAACATTTCCTAATCTTTTCCCCAACTCTGCCAGATGGTTTTACAGACTTCAAGCAATTGGTAAGCACCACTGTTATTAACGAGCCAACCAGGTTTCTTCTTCCTGACAAACACTACATTTTAAACTTCAAAATTTATGATTTAAGTATATGGCTTGAATATATAACATACTTTACTGGATTTTTTCTTGCTTTATGAATTAGTTAATTGTTCCTATTCATCTCTTTTAGTAGGCCCACTTTATTTTCCTGCATGAAACTGCATATTGATAGGAAATCGCACTAATTTTTTATTAGCATCTATTTAGAAATGGTTTGAAAATATTTTCCAAGAGTCCTGTTTGAAGTATATGGAATGTGTTTCTAAGGAAAACTTTACTAAGCAAAGCATGTTGGCTAATGAGGAATGTTATGTTTTTAAAGTGATACCAGAAGATATTTAGTTTTTCCTTCCTTTTCATCCCTTTGTCATCTTCTATTTCCTGCCTCTTCCAGACATGATTTTCTTGTAAATCTAGTACAGTCCCTGCCTATTTTGCAAAAGAGTAAGAGATCGAGATGCAAGAGAATGCCAAGATCCTTCAAGAGTCGTTTAAGAGAGTAGGTGTAGCGTCAAATCAATGAGAGCAGATGAGGCCAGGTCAGGCCAGGCCAGGCAAAGAAACAGAGATTTCTGTGGCTCAAGAGCAAGGCTCAGGGCTTAGAGAAGGAAAAGGAGAGTAACTTCTTTCCCTCATATCTCCACTCTTCCCCTCCCCCAAACACAAATATCCCTCCCCTATCTACCCACACAGCAAAAAAAAAAAAAGCAGTTGACATCAGGGAGAGATGAAAATGAGATAGGCTTTTGTTTATAAAACCTAGGCCAGGAGGTCTGCTTTGGAGGCAAGAACTTCAGGCTAGAAATTCCTTTGTAGCCACACAAATTCTTGGAGCAGTATTGTGTTGTTTTAGTTGTAAGCAGTGAGAAAAGTACTGCCATCTCAACTCATACTTTTGCCATGAGTTCAGAGTTTGACAATAAGCAGATCTGGAATACTACAGGAGAAACTTTGACCTGAACCTCAGATACTTGCCTTTGGCAAATTTCAGTTTCTAGTTGGAAAGAATTGCTATTATGGTAAGATTTTTGGATCTCTTTCTTATAGCATATTTTCCTTACTTTAATGGTAGCCTCAAAAAAAATGAGTTTGGCCTTCATTTAAGGATTTTGTGCACTTATTTTGTCTCCCAGAATGAATTTATATCAGTACCTTGCACCTTCATGTATTTTTAACCCGTTGTGCTGCCCCTCCTCCTGGCACTTACACTTCAAGCCATATCTGATTGTGTAAAGAAAAGTTATATCCTAAGGTGAAAGAATTCTAAGTGCCAATAAACACAGTGTGTCTTGGGGGAGGTAAGGGCGTTCTCCATGTTCCTAACATATCACATATTCATGCTTACCACTTGGTCTAGTTTTACACTTTAAATTTAGCACTTAAAAAGTCCCCAGCTATCCTGATGAGTTTTATTCAGTTGTCTTATATCCTTCTTGTGACCTCTTATCATCTTGGAATGTAGAACTTATGCTGTAAGGAAGCATGTAACCTAATACATGGGTTCCATGATACAAGATGATGAGTGATGGAATGCGGGCCAATGGTTCTCAAACTATAGTGTGCTTCACCTGGAGGGCTTTTTACAACACAAACTGCCAGACTCCACCCCCAGAGTTCCCGAATCAGTGAGTATGAAGTGGGACCAGGTAATCTACATTTTTAACAAGCTGCCAGATGATGCTGATAGCCCTGGTCAGAGACTGCACTTTGAGAACCACTAATGCAGGTCACAGCAGGTAACCCTTTTCCATGGAGTGGCCATTCAGTACACTTTATCCCTATCTCCTTTTAAGGTATTCTTTTTTTTCATGTTATTTACCTTTACTATTACTAAATCTTTAGTACCTGAAAGGTATAAACATGGATCCAATGGAAGAAAATATGAACTAAAACCAAACTATTGCATATGCACATAAACAGACTGACTTTTGTTCTCATTTTCCGTCTCTCTGAAGGGAGCATCAGGGATAGTCATTCTGACATGGAACTGAGTTGAGAATACTTCCATCATAGAAGAAATTCCTAGAGGAAGGAGACAATCATTGGGACCTTAAGTAGGCATGGGGAGATATGTTTGTAAGAAGTTAAGGTTTTAATAAAGAGAATGAGCCTGGTGAGAAGCAAGCCATAGACATAGTAGACGGAGGCTTTACTGAGAAATCGAAAAAGGAAAAAAAAAAAAGAACTTCAGCAAACAAAATGAATTCGTTGTGAATTTGGTAGCACAGTCTAAGAAATGATTGATAATTTCTCACGGGCTAATGGATGGTTGGTACAAAGGATGTTACATACATTTATTTCCTCCATTTAAGTTTCTCACTCCTCTAAATACTAAGGAAGACATGGAAAAGGGGAAATAATATTAGATGCTGAAACAGAAGAACACTAGGAAGTCATCTCAAAACCAAGGAGGTGAATAATTTATGGTTTCTGGGACCAGCCGATGATACATAATCGGGACTTGTTCATGCCGGTAAATATGTTCATGAACTCCCAAGCTCAGAAGCGCTGGTGATCTTGTGCAGGAAACATGAAAATCCTTCTTGTGGCAGTCAGAAGGATGGCCTTTTCTGATTTTTTCCCATTTCTCTGTCTCAGATATCCTTTGTGTTGACCTTGCTTGGCTCTAACTTTTGCTGAGTCGTTGTACAGACGTGGATCATGTGAAAGAGAATAGTGTGAAACCAAGAGCACAGAAAGAGTCTGACTTTTGTTCTGATCTTCAGTGTGTCTGAAGGGAATGCGAAGGTGCATTTGCAGCTGCAGAGTCAGTCACCTCCATGTAGCAGTTCAGAGAAGCTAACGGGTCTCTCTGGCTTGACCGTGGCCACCATTTTTTTCATAAACTGCCCGCCACCTCAACTCAGCAGTTTTTTGAGAAAACCTTTCCACTGAGGATAGTCACACAATCCCTGTCTCTTACGGAGGTGATATCTGTTATAATCTTAAACAGTTCAGAAGCTTCAGGTGTTCCATCCTGACCAGCCCTTGGTCCACAGCCAGGCCTTGTCACTGCCGTTGCAGGACAGCCCTATCCGGTGAGAGCAGTAAAACTCGGAGTAGCTGTGAGGCATGGCAAAGGGCAGCCCACTTTTTGTGTGTTTATCTTCAGCATGGTTGAGCTCTCAGCAATACAGAAAGAGTCACAGTCCTGCCAGCTCTTGTTCTCTTCTTAGGGTTGGTGGCATTTGTCCCCTTACCATTTCCATTTTCCAGTTTTGTTACAAAGCTCATGACAGAATTTTTCAGCCACATGCTGCAGAGTTTCTACAAGCTTCCCCTTCTGAGCTTGGAGAGATTGCAGCTGTTGAGAGAGATTCCCTAATCTTTCTTCCATTTTAGAAAAGCTATCTGAGTATTGGAGAGTTGGTAGAACTGAAAAAAACACAAACCCCGGTACTGCCAGGCCTATCAGCAGCACCAGGCACAAAAGGAGCAGGGTCAAGGCCACTGGACACCACGCTGGAGAGGGAGGCCAGTACTCCGTGTGGCCACGCTCAGGATGATGAGATGTAGTAGGGGCTCAAGAGGGCAGGCTCATGGTGGTGTCCCCCATCAGCATCCAGTATGTTCCTCATGCTGCTGTACTTGGGCTGCATTGGGATTCCTGCAGAGGTGAGGGTGAGCTGTTGTTGGATTACCCCAAATGCTTCGCTTCTATGAGACAGTTCAGAAACCAAGGCACTGAAAGGCATTCCTAATGTTCTTCTCTCCCAGCAAGTAGCAGGAAAGCCTTTTCCTTATAGTATTCTTCATACAGGATCTTGGATCTATAAATATCTACATCTGTGTTTTCTTCTCCAATTTTTTTCTGGTTTTCTCATTTTTTATCTCACCATTGTTCTACTGAGTTTCTACTTCTAAGGATGTTCTCACTTGTAAAGATACAGCCACATGTGACCGTTCACACTCCAGAACTACTAAAAAATGTACACACCCATGTTCAGCTCAGATGTTGATTGTCATGTGCTCACTGATGCATTTTTTAAAAACAATGGCCACATGTGCTAAGATTTGAAACTCCTTATGCATTCTGTGTATTGATCAGATAAAAACTAGATACTCATCTACTGTTTAATTGTCATCTGCAGAACATGAACTCCATGGATTAGGTTTGCTCAAGGACCATTCTTTGGAGAGGCAATATTTCCAGAATCACGGTTATAGAGGTGTGATTCAGGATGACCATATTCCATTTTTAAGAAAAGGTAATGTGTGTGTACATGTATGTGTACATGTGCGTGTGCATTTTAACCTATTGTATTTTATGTGCTTTTGCAATAATCTAGAAGAGAAACCACTGAATGTAATTAATTGAATAATTAAGTCATCCAACAATTGGCTTATGGCTTCTATTTTCTCATGAAAGGGATTTGGGATTCTTATTTTTTTATCCTACACCTAGAGTATGTGTGAAAGCTCATGTTCCATTGACTGTGCCTTCACTTTCATAGAGGCAGACTATTCTTACGTTCTGTGTTACTCTGATGTTTTCTGATGAATAAGGAAGTGCTATCTTTGATGTCAATGGTGCAAGTTTAAATGAATGCAAGGACTCTTGCAGTATCCTCCCCATTGATTTCCAGTGTTTGTTTGCTCTTGCTTCCCTAGTATTTACATAGGAAGAAGAGTTATCTTATCAGTTTATGTTACTTTCCTACTTCAAAGCTCTGATGGCTTGCTATCATGTAGAATAAGACTGAAAATCTTTACCATGACCTGCAAGGGCCTCCATTTTCTGACTCTTTTCTCCTTCTTCAACATCACCTGCTACATCTGTCTCCAATCAGTATTGCTCCCATCCAGCCACACAGGGCTCCTTTGCTGTTCCTCAAGCTGGCCAAACTCACTCCTACCCCAGGTCCTTTGCACTTGCTGATATTGCTGCCCGGAATGCTCTTCTCCAGATTTTTGCACAGCTTCTGTTCCTCTGTTGCATGTCTCAGTTTAAGTGTTAGCCTCTCACAAAGGCTTTCCCTGACCTTAAATACCTCTCTCTTGCTATCTGTCTCTCATTCTCTGTGTCCTCATGTTTATCCTTTACGATGTTTATCACTTTCTAACATTATTTTTTATATTTGTTTACTTGCTTATTTCTCTACCAGAATGTAAGCTCCATATGAGCAGGGCCTTGCCTTTTTACTGATGAAACCTCAACTTCTAGAATAGAGACTGGTACATATTCAGTGGTTTCTAATTATTTACTGAGTTAACAATTGTTTAATGAGTGAAAGACCTTGGAGTACAAGAGTAAGATGTAAGCCATACACAGAAGATGATGAGTTTTCAGCTGTGTTTATGTGGACGGTACAGAGCGCCCATGCAGCCTCCTGCTTGCCAGGTGACATTCTCTAGTTTAAATATGCACTTAATTAACAGTTGGTTCTTTCTTATTAGGTGTTCCAATTTTGCATCTGGTAGCATTTCCTTTCCCTGAAGTCTGGCATACCATGGATGACAATGAAGAAAATTTGGATGAAGCAACCATTGACAATCTCAACAAAATCATACAAGTCTTTGTGTTGGAATATCTGCATTTGTAATATTCTCAGTTAGTTATGGTAATTGCACCTACTAGTGGATTTGAAAGTCAAGGTACAATTTAAAATACATAATCTGACTCCAGATCAATGCTGTGTGGACATTTCTATCCCAGGGATTCATTGTGTAGGTAGCTTTGAATATGTAATTAATAAATACTAGATTTACATTATGTCTTTAATTTCCTGTTAATTTTTATCTAGAAATACAAAGGGGCAATGTAAGGAAAACAGAAACTATGAACCCGGATTGGGTTTATATACTCAGTACCACAGTCTTCTGAACAGAACTTAAATATAATCATAATGTGTAATATGTAGCCTTGATTTAATGATTTCTTATTACTGGGGAACCTATTGCATATAATACAAAAACAGAGATGCAGTTTGAAGATTCTCATATTTCTTTGAGAAATCTTTATAGGGTTTATATCATTAACATTAATTCAGAATTACATGCCATGTTGTGAATTTTTTGTAGAAATGAAAAACTTTAGAATTTAAAGTACAGTTCAACTTTTATAGAGTATTACAAATTTAACATTTTTATTTTAAAAATGATATAGTCAGTAAAAAAAAAAGAAAATGGTAACAGAAGAAAACTCTACTGCCCTTATGTTAATAGAATCTTTATTCAATCTTTAGTTTTTCCTCACGCATTTTCAGTGCAGATTTTTAAGAATGTAGTCTCCCCAGACAACAACTCCACTACCTAAACGGAAAAGATTGACAACCAAACTCTGAACTGGGTATATAGGGGGAGGGAGAGGAAGAGATTAGGTTGCCCAGCTTACAAAGAAGCGCAGATTACTTGCACTCCCCCCCCTCAGCCAGGTGTAAGGTTCCCAACAATAATCAAACTGTGTGTTCGGAAGATTTTGTCCTTTTTTTCTGTTCAGTTATATATGTAACTACCCGCATTTACTTGCTGCTTTGGTCTTGGGTTGGGATGAAGACAGGAAAAGATGGTTGAGTGTGGCCTCCGCAGTCAATAGTAAGTGACGGAGCCGTGGCCCCGTAGTTATAATTTTTGCATAAGTAAATGATATGCTATTTAAGTTGGGTTAATTAATTTTAGCATATTGTTTTCAGCTGATTCATGGGAGCAAAATTGCTTGGGTGGAAACATGTAGGAATTCATGGATTTTTCTTTAGTCGTAGGAAACAATTATCTAGAAATACAAATTTGATCTGTTACACAATTAGGAAATTGATTCTGCCATATAGATGTAGCTGGGGCCTCTGTTCTTCATATGCTCTCTGTTCTGAGAGGACAATTAATAAATACTCACTGAGTTAATGTTCTGGGGCCAGGCAGGGCTGCAGACACATCAGCTGAGTGGGGAAACAATGGCAGCTTCAAGTTCAATGACCAAGGGCATCACTGAGAAAAGAATTTACCAAAACGTACTTTCCAGGTTAAAAAAAATTAGTGTAATTTCAGCTATATAATTATATAAAAGTCTATAACCATATGTACATATGTATAGAACATTATCAGTAATTTCATGTTTGTACATTTTACAGAATTAGAGTTTTCAAGAATCTCTTTTTATTTTATAAATCTGCTTCTGAAATTATGTAGAGGATGCCATGCCTTTGTAAGTTAAATACTATTGTGAACTAACATCAAGTACTGCCCATGTCAGGCAGTGTCGTGTGTGTTTTTATGAACTTATTCCTCACAACAATCCTAGGGGGCAGGCAGTACGATGAACCCTATTTTATGGGGTATTTTATGGTGCAGAGAGTGTCTTCTTCAAGGCCACGCAGCTCATAAGTGGCAATGGTGGGACTTGAACACAAGCAGTCTGGCTCCAACTTCACAGAATATGCTTAATGACCAATGCAAAGCAACGGTTGTGTCTTGAATCCCCATAGGTCCCTCACTTCATGTGGGAGAGCATTTGTTAAACACTGCGATCAGGATTCAGCCGACAGCATTAGGCTCCAGAGGCACGCCATCTGCACGCAGAATTGTTTCTCTGCCGCAGCAGAAGCTGTTTTGACATCAGCATGGGTATGACAGAAATGAACATGAGTGCTTCCAGGCCTAAAGGCTCTAAACCATAAAGCAGGATTAAGGGAGGCTGAGTTTTCTGGATTAACTCCTGGATAAGATAAAGCATTTGAAAGGAATTCAGGAAAACAATTTTTTTTAAACACCGGAAAAGAAATGATTTCATGGATGATACTGAAGCAGAATGAAAACTTTTAATAAGGAGCCTAAACATGAGTTGCCATTAATACAAATGGAATTATAAGCCTAAAGAATTAGTTCCTTTTGAAGCAGAATGAAATTAATAGGAGATCTACTACAATCTGTTGAGGGTGGTATTAGTTGAATTATTTTTAGAGGAGGAAGTTGGAGGAGATGTTGAAATGAGGTAAAGGGAGAAATAAAAACATAAACAGCTTAATCCACTGAAGGTTTCCTTCCTTCCAAATGGCCCATCCTAAAATTCTGTTCACTAAGAGTTTGCAATAATATAAGAAAAGCAACCATGATGCTGTACAGGGAAACATTTTAAGGTATTAATATGAATATTAGTCTCTGAAATATATTCTGTGTAATTCATGCCAGCCAGAAATATTACTTTAAAAAAATTATAGCTGCTGAGGCCGTGCTCTATAAACATTATGTTGCATTTGGAATTTTTCTATGTGCATTTTGGAGCCTTTCAGTGCTCCTAAGAGAACAATTTGTATGGTTTGTCTATTACTGTCAACTCTGCAATACATGGGGCTGTTTTTCTTTTCCAAGAGCAATGAGTTCAAAGGCGAATAGTCATAAAAGTACATTCATAGGCTTGGCATCTAAAAAAATCACGGGCCTGTTAACTGCAGCTTGAGCGTTGCGGCTGGAAGAGAAAAGACAGATCCTTTAGAATGGAGACATGCTTTAGATGGGGAAGTGGTTGTCACAGAACAAAGCAGCCCATGTTTCCAGATCCAACTCCAAACCCTTAAACGGTTTCTTTCAAGGACCTTCTCTCTCCCATCAAAGAGGTACATTCATTACGGTGCTGCAGCAAAATCAAGTGAACATCGAACATTCGCGACGTCAACCTGGCCCAGCTGGAGGTGATTACCTACTTTCAGGAAGGGCGGACGGACAAAACGCGAGACACTTCTCTCTCTCCAACCTACAGACAGCCCCACCTGAGGCTTGGCCGTGGCATCAGCTGCTGAAAGTAAGATCTCAATGTCTTTGCAAGCCTGAAATCGGAGGAATGATGGTGGGGGATGAAGGACGTAAAGAGAAGATGGGGCAGACTATCCGTGGCAGCCAGGGTAATTCAAAGCAAAGCTCACATAGAACATTTGGGGAAATTACTTGCATTTGCTTTTCATGAAGGCCTGGGTCTGTGCTCTCGTAGCCGACCTCTGGCTTCAAAGATGAATGTATGAAAGAGTGAGGTTTCACTCTGAGTTTCAGGGCCACGCTCTATGTCGTCTGAAGCTCCAAAAGTAGTTTTGAAGTGGTTTAACTGTCTCCCCTTACTTCTGCCTTCGGCCTCACTTCTCTGACTTGCCTGGTACCTCTCTCTCCGCCTTCAAATAGCCAAACGACTGCTTTGTTGTCAGGCAGACACCAACCTGTGCAGTCATCACCGCCACGTTTCACTGGAAGGGCTGCGGTGGAGAGAGGGTGTTAGCCGGGCGAGCCGGTGGGGCGGTACAGCGCGCCCCTCGAATCCTCCTAAACGTGGAAATCGCCCCCAGGATCTTGGCACTACATCCAACAGCAATAATTTATGGCAGTTATGAAGAGAGCTGAGATGAAAGAGCCGTCTGTGTCCCCCTGCCCGGGTCTGGTTGGCGAGCCCGTGCACTGTGAAGTCATCTCGCTGTGCTCGGATTTCAAAGGCAGCACATGGAACGCAGCCCGCTCGGCAGCTCTGAGTCTGCCAGTGCGGAGATCAGACCATTTCAGACCATTTGTTCGAGTTCTACTGTCGAGAGCACACAGATGCCAAGGAGAGGGGAAAAAATGGGTTGAAACAAAAGAAAACGAAACAAAAAAATTCGCAAAGATGACAGAGGTAACACGAAGAATAGAGTTTACAACTGATAAATTAGAGAATATAGAACCTTTATTCTCTTACATTTACCGAGCACCATGGGGCACGAGAGGTTCTCGGCGTTCAAGGATTTCACATTTGTGGTTTTGGCTAACAAAGAGTAACACGTAATAAATTACTCAAGCTGAGATTGGCATGGAAATGAGTCTAGCCAATGGCCAGCCACCAAATTCATTGTTGTTCTCTAGTCATCCATGCAGTTAACACTTGGGAAGTAATAAAACCCACTTGTTTGTGAAAAATGACCCCCCACCTCTCCCCGCCCCTCCCCCCGCACTTTCTAAGCCCACCTCTCTTGCTGGAGATGTGATGAAAGACGTCTAGAAAAAGAATGGTGACACAGAGTAGCTTTATAAGTGATTTTAATTCTTCATTGACAGATGAATTAAAAGTATGAAAAGACTGTTTTAAAAATTTTGGGGTTTTTGAAACCGTCTTTTTCGGGGACAAATGATATTCAAAAGCATTTAGGGTGTTTCCCTTGGGAATGTGAAGAATCCATTTTAGGTTAATGCTCAAGTTAATTCACACGAGTGACTGATCACAACGGCCCTTTGATCAGTTTACCCATCCACATGGCTGTATATCAGTGCCTTCATTTTCAAAGTAAGAGAACACAGAGACTAACTTATCCTCAGCTGGTGCCCAGACTAGACTCTAGGGGGCTTCATTTCTGGTACATTACATGGCTAATTTCAGCCCAGTTAGGAAGGGCCTCGGAGATTTTCTAGTTGATTTGTTCTAAACCAAGGGGAGTACATGCCCCCCTAGGGGGCAGTGGGATGTGTGTGTGTCTGTCCAGCGGGACAGGTGGTGGATCTTTGGTGTCATAACTGAAGGGTGCTTCTAGCATTTTGTTTGCAGAAACAAAAATAAATGTTCAGAGCAGTTTGCACAATAAACAATTGTCTCAGCAAATGCCATTCAGGCCTCCATTGAGAACCGCTGACTAGATTTCAGCATCCTCGTTCTAAAGGTTCAGATACCAAGATCCAGAGAGGATGGATCATTTAAGATTTTCCTGGTTATAAGTGACAAAACACCTAATTCAACTCTGTCCAATAAAAAAGGAAATTTACTTCATGTCTCTGGGTCAG